CTGTTGTGAATATAGCAAAAACGATTATTTGGCCTCAAACATCATGCACTTGGTCCATGACCACTGCCTTAATACTATATTATTCTTAGTAGGCCTACTTCAGGTCTTAACAACTTGTAATGAGTTTTCAGGGCGAGAACATGCTTAATATGAAATCGATATATTCTCCTAGAGAGTAAAGATTTTTTTATTAATTTTTTTTTGTAAAAACGATATTGGTTCTGACATCAACATTACAGAAAAAACACGCAGACTTTGCTGGAACTTACCCCCATCGCTTCTTCTGACGAGAATTTCTTAAATATGCCAGCAGACTTTCCACACACAACTCACTAGACTTAGTTTTTATGTGCGAGCCCTAGGGACTAAAACACTGCGTGTGTACAGTTTCATTCAAAACGCTTTCCTCACTTTCAGTTACTAAACGTCCACAATAAATATGATATTTACTTGATGAAATTACAATTTAAACTGCATATTTCATTAAGGCTGCTTGTTTACAACTAATGCACAACTTTGTAAAAAAAAAAAAAAAAAACCCTCACACTTCCATAACAAAGACTGAATGATGAACAGTGAAATTAGCTTGCCATTGCCACAACTTTTTAGAAATATAGGTAAATATTCATATTAACTTACCATAAAACACTGCCCAATTCGAGGGGCGTTGTGCTCCTCGAGTCAGAAGTGAAGAATTACTTCTGACTCAAGGATAGAATAAGTTCTGCAAAGAATGAAAAAGTTACCTGTTGCTGGGTCAAAATAACCCAACAAGATATTTATTTGTGAATGACCCCCTTACAACTCATTTTACCCAGCATGAGTAACCCAAGAATGTGTTTACAGTACCCCAAACAACCCAACATTTTGACCCAGCACAATCAACCCAACAATTTGTTTACAGAAACAACCCAGTATTTTTGTGTGATTGTCCAAAGCTCTCTCCGTAGCTTGTATCCATGCAGTTTTTGCTTTTGGGGGTTATCTTTGACTAACTTCCCTTTATTTAGCATCCTTTAGTCTTCTTGTTTTATTTGAGCTATTCTAGTTTTTGTTTGGTTCTGTTTCTCATATTTATAGCGTTAGTTTCTGTAACTGTTAAGATCCTTTCACACTGCACGCGATTTTGACGCACGAATAATTCGTGCGATGGTTTTATATTTTGTTCAGCTGTTTGTATAATGAGTGCTTCCACACTGAACGCGAATGTCCTGCGGCGAAAAAACGACTTTTATTTTTTCCGCTTCAATGTCAATTTTTTTTTTTTTTTTTTACTTTTTAGGAGAAAGGAAAGGCATCAGCCAATCATATACAAGGAAACAAACGTAACGTGACCGCACCGCAGCAATGACGGCTCTTCTGATTGCTTGTGTGTCGAGTCGTCTGTGAATGAAAATTTGAAACAAGGACTGGTGGGACGTTGTGCTCATTTGTTCGTATCGAGCCCAACCGGGTGTTTACAAGCCTTTTCAGTCTATTTGAGCTTCAATCCGTTTACTAAAAGTGTTTATTTGATTGCATGTAAACGTAGCCCCTGATGAATGGGACAGCTCACCTTCTGCTATTATGTTTCTAGCTCCGGTAGCATACTCTCTGTTCTTTAAGATTGGGTGCACCCAAAACCTTCTTTTCTACTTTTAAATAAAAATGAAAAGCTTGTCCTCACTGGATGATAATGATGTTGATGAAGAAGCTATGTCCTACGTCCCGCAAGTCATAGCATTGCTCCGCATTAATTTTTGTCTGCATCATTTTATGTATTAACCTTTTATGTAAACTATTCTCACGCGAACTATTCGCTTTTTCGTTTCGCTTTTTCGTTACGCGTCCGGTGTGAAAGGGCCTATACTTTGCTTTTCTGTTTGATTTATTATTTAGCCTGGGTTTTCACTTAGCTTTCTCATGCTGTGGACTTGTTTTACTTAAGTGTATTGTTCGTTTTCTTCTTATGTTAAGGTTTAGTTGTTCAGTTACTTAACTACAGGCCAGCTGGCGCCGATTCTCACACGGATTTTTAACTGGTCTCTGGAGTTGTGTGAAGTACCTTCCCGTTTTAAACGGTCCACCATCATTCCAATCCCCAAAAATCCCTCCATCACAGGACTAAATGACTACAGGCCAGTCGCCTTGACCTCCGTGGTCATGAAATCTTTTGAGAGACTGGTGTTGTGCCATTTGAAGGACATTACAGGCCCCCAGCTGGACCCCCTGCAGTTTGCCTATAGGACAAACAGATCTGCAGATGATGCTGTTAACATCGGACTGCAATATATACTGCACCACCTCGACTCCCCAGGGACGTACGCTAGGATCCTGTTTGTTGACTTCTCCTCAGCGTTCAACACCATCATACCTGAACTCTTACATCAGAAGCTCACCCAGTTCTCAGTGCCTGCCTCCACCTGCCAGTGGATTACCAGTTTTCGAACTCCTCCCCTCTGGTAGACGATACAAAGCACTGTATGCCAAAACCAGCCGACACAAAGGCAGCTTCTATCCTCAAGCAGTTACTTTGTTAAATACTCAGAAATTGCCCCTTCCCTTATAATGGACACAGCCAACCAATATTATTCTACCTCATGCCTTGATCTCCTATTGTATGCACTAATTAGTTTATTATCATTGAATGGGCCTGCACTGCTATTGACAACACTGATATTGCTTTGTAATTGTCACTGTATGGCCAGATTAAATCCAGTTTTTTTTTTTTTTTTTTTCGTTACCAAGTCAAATTCCTAGTTTGTCTCTGCAAACATGGCCAATAAAGTTGATTCTGATTCTGATTCTGATTCTACAGTGTTTGCCCGCCTTGTACTTATAATGTTCTTGTGGTTTTATTATTGTCTTGTTTCTCATGTGTTGTGCATCTGTGTGTGTGTTCAAGTCCTGTCCTGCCCAGCCTGAAAATGCACTGACTGCTGGTGACTGGGCTGCTCAATCCTGTGCCCTAGTCTCCTGTCTAGACCTCTGTTGTGGACTGTCTCTAGACTGTGCAACTGTTACACATTGCTACACCCTATTGTCAATAAATTACCATTCACCGCTCATCTCTCTGCTTGGGTCCTGTTATTTCCAGTGGTTCCTGACATCATGAAAGTGTAGGACACCTTCTACCTGTCAAACTTAGGCAATTCAGGTTGTCAATGTTGATATCCGCATTCTCAGACAGAGTGTGTTAACTTTTGTAATCTGTTGCGTCTCCTTAACACACAAAGGTTCCTCCTCATATAGTCTTGTTCCCTTGTGTTTCATTATATTCACCGCCACAAATTTTAGTGGCATGCCGCATGTTTGCATTTACCTTTTTGGTTGTGACATTTTTATATATTCAAATTCTAACCTTTCTGTGGATTTGAGTAGAGGAAATGTGTGGCAGGTCTTTCCGTTGCGCCTTATGTAGTGTGTGTTTGTGTGGTTCAGGTACAGGGGTTGGACAATGAAACTGAAACACTGGCCAATGTTGGAGGTTTCACATCTATATGCCTGGCGGCCAATCTTCAGAGTGAAGCACGGGTGGATCAGTGATGGTTTGAGCTCCAATATCATGACAATCCTGATTGTATTTGATGGACACGACACTGCCGAGGACTACCAAACCCTTCTGGAGGATCATGAGCACCTGATGCTCAAACCGTGTATCAGCATGATCATGCACCAACACACACAGCAAGACTTGTGACAGAAGGGTTTGATGAAGATGAAAGTGACGTTGAACATCTCCCATGGTCTGACAGTCACCAGATCTGAATATTATTGAGGTGTTTTGGAGGAGCGAGTCCACCAGCATCATATAGTGACCTGGACACTGTTCTGGAAGAGGAACGGCTCATAATCCCTCTGGTTCTGTGAAGGACTTCTATCTGTCAATTGGTGCTTTATTTGGATGCAAACTGAGGCCCTCACCATTCTAACAAATTATTGTGTAGTAAAACCAGGTGTTTCAGTTTTTTTGTCCAACCCCTGTATATCCTACGTTTTTGAAAATAGCCAAAATCCTTGTCCTTGTGGGGCCAGTTTTGGTGTAGGTAATTTTACTCTCTTTTAGGGTCATTTTTTTATTATCTGTCTAGGGACTACAGATGAAAAATAGCCGTTTGGCTAATTCTGGCCGATTTCAACACCGAGACAGTCATATTCCTGCAATGGGAACATGAGCCATCCACAAAAGCTGCTTCAGCATGCTGTAAGCCCACGTGATGCAATTGTGACCTTCAGATTCGGACAGGGAACGACCGCATCCAGAAATGCACAGGTGCAATGACATCTTGAAAAAGACGCAAACGCACCCATGTTGCTCTTTTAGGATTTGAAAACTCTCACCAGTGCCGGAGCCCACAGGGGAATGATCGTGGCAACACTGACAGGGATGATGCAGCCTGTACCAGTGAAGAACTCACTCTCTTTGCCCTCAACCGGCCGTCAGACAAACAAACACAAACATAAATTTGATGCTATTAAAACAGCAGTTGAGAGCGGTGCTCGTTGTAATATATCTAGATTCTTCAGAGACATCAACATGAAGACCTATCGGCACCGAAGAACTTATCGGCTTTACTGTATAACTGCGCCAAGGGGGCGGAGTGTGAGATGCAAATCTTGCACGCCAATCTGCATTGGCTCATTTTAACAGTACTCATAGATGAAAGGCTCCATAAGCGTCGAACGACTACGTCGAACGTGAACTGCCCAAAGGGAACCCAATATTTGTGTGTGCTATTTGGTCATGTGTACTCATATAAAGTTCTGTCTGGCATTCTAAACCAGACAGAGTTATTAAATACTTTTATATAAGATTGTTTCAACAAAGAACACCAATGACCTGCATGTGCATTTCTGCTTTGACAGCATGGCCCTGATTGGAATGTTTTGTATAATATGAAGTCAGTTCTTCATATTATGTCACAGTTCAGAGTTTATGAGCATCACTGATCTTTTTTTTTATTTATTTACATATTTCTATTCTGATTTCATCTTTTATTTGGCATGTTGTTGTGTTGCAGTTGGAGAAGGCAAGAACATGATTCCAATGGACCCAAATGGATTGTCTGATCCATATGTAAAACTCAAGTTAATTCCAGACCCTAAAAATGAGACGAAACAGAAAACAAAAACCATCCGTTCTTCCCTGAATCCAGCTTGGAATGAATCATTTACATTGTGAGTCTCAACATTTTATTACATCCTGAAATTCAGGATTAATGTGTTATTGGTGTTAGTTTTATGTGCATGAACATTGGATTATTAATTGATGTTTTACCCATTACAAGTCCAAATCAATAGCCTGACTTCGTCATACTCATATTCTAGTCAGAATGTGAGTCTGAAACTTCTTCATAGGGCTTTGATTATGAGGCGTGTCTTAACCGAACCAGGAAAAAAAAAAAAAAAACCTCTGCACTCTGCAATTGGATAGTCGGTAGACGTACAGCCAATCAGAGCAATGCAGTAAGTCAAATACTTTGCATAGCGCAGTTTTCTATAGAACTTACTTATTTTAGAAGTAAAATAAAGAGTGTTGCTTATTTTACTTACTCCTCCATGAGTGCGACCAAAGGAGAAACCACAACCACAGCCTTTTCATTACGTCCCATCTTCTTAACGACCATCGGAGCCAGCTGATAAGTTACACTTTTGCCGAATCAAAAATGAATGCGCTGTAAATTTAAAAAATAAAACAGACGCGACAGTGGATTCTATACATCTCAATTCTCCAGCTCCAGATCATCTGTCCATCATCGTATAAAGCACGCCCTGGCAATCTGATTGGCCCGTTCATTTTTTGACTGATCATAATTTCTCCTCAATGGATCGAGTCCAGACCGAAATTCCCGACCAAAAAATGTTGTGGGCGGGGTTCGGGCTGGCATCCAGGCTACCAAATCAAATGATATAGTAAAGTCCCTGTACAGTCAAAATTAAGTATGTGTTCTGAGTTTGTCACACCACAGTAAAATGTGTTATTAGCCACCCAGTTAAATTTGAATGATATAAAAAGCCGCCAAGAAAGTAAAATAAGCTATCAAAATCTTGAAAAAATAAGCAGTATTCTCTGCTCTCAAACGCTGGGGGCATGTCCGCTGGCTGCGCATAAACCACGCCCACTCACGAGAAAGCTGCCCATGGTGATATTCGGTATTAGGTGATACTGCTTTCAGGACAGGAGGATGAAGGCCGTGGTGGGAGATAGTTGGTTCGCCCCGATTCCCCAGTAACAACGGATTATCGGTGAATCCCAGTTGTCTCCGATGAAAGTTTATAAAACTGTGTAAATGGTCATAATGAGAATGAAAGCGAGGCTGTGAGGGATAGACAATCATCTCTTCAATGGGCTGTACTGTTATTTAATGTTTTCGGTTTGTTCTGCTCATGAAACACTGGAAAAATATCTTTCCAAGAAATTTCAGTTGACAAAAAACTCCATAAAATGTAAGCTGTGGAAAATTGTAAGTAATCTAGCAGCTTTATTCAGTTTTTTACAGCAGATGCCATTGGAAACACGGTAAGTCTATCCCTCACCTCTTTCATACCTGTCATGACGCTGCTCTGAACAAGGTCTAAACAGCACTATAATAATCTAGTCTAGTAGCTTAAGAACTGTTTTTCGAAGGACTAACTGTCCAGTCAAATATATGTATGTAAATGAAGTGAAATGAAGTAAAATATTTAATATTCAAAAAGATAACCTAAACCTGTTTAGAAACCTGCATTTAAGCATTTAGTTAAATATAAGTTTTATATATATATATATATATATATATATATATATATATATATTAAAAAACTTTATCATTGTAAATATTAACATGTTATTATTTACAAAAGTAATATAATTTTTATAACAAAAGTGATTAGATAAACTGAAATTGAAAACTGTTTGGAGTTTTTTTAATCTGGATAATATATATTGCTGAAAGAGAGCAGCTGGAAATCCCTGCTTTAGAATATGATGAAGGGAAGTGCTAATGTAATGTTTCATCCTGTATGCTTGTGTGTTCCAGTAAGCTGAAGCCAGCAGATAAGGACCGTCGGCTGTCTGTGGAGGTGTGGGACTGGGACAGAACTACCCGCAATGACTTCATGGGCTCAATGTCTTTTGGTGTGTCCGAGCTCATGAAGTCCCCAGTGTGTGGATGGTAAGAAATTTTAATGTTAATGTGGAGATGATTTGCAAAAGGGGCCAGCAACGTCTGTACTCTGTACTGTCTACGGAGACTGTCCAAATTCAAAGTGGATAGGTCCTTGATGATTTTATTCTATAAATCTTATATTGAGTCGGTTTTAACATTTAGTATGTTATGCTGGTATGGAAGCCTTGGTGTGAAGGCAAAGACTGCTTTGGTGAAAATAGTAAATACTAGCAGGAAGGTCTTAGGAGTTCAGCAGAGTCACCCTACTGACCTGTACAACCAGCAAGTAGTTGGGAAGGCCCGATTCATTTTAATGGTTACCTCACATCCTCTCTATTCTGAGTTTCAGTTTTTACCCTCAGGATTTTCCTTGGTTAGAAGTAACAGGTATAAACATTCATTTATTCCTACTTCCATTTCTTTGTTAAACTTGGGTATGGGGGGAGTACAGTAGGTGGAAGGAAGTAGTTGTGTAGGCTTTGTGTGAGTATTGTGTGTGTGTGCTTATTTTAGTGTTATTTTGTAAAGGGTACCTTTTAACTTTTTATTAAAAAAATTATTAATGTGTATTCTAAATTGTCCTTTTGTATGCTGTGTTGCTGTAAAATTAATTGCCCTTCAGGGACATACTGTATACAAATAAACATAACATAACATAAAGGTTGTGTACTATTATGAACTTCTAAAGTCCTGAAAAATGTTTTTGTTCACATATTATATGTTGCTATGATGACAAAACACAATTGTCTTCAGAAGACAAGATGCAGTTGTAATCAAAATAATTTTAACCCCCATTGTAAATCAGGTTTATTGGCAAAAGTTACAGACTTCCAGCTGTTTGCAGTGAACAAACCAAACAAAAGTCATTGAAATAGCACAACACAACAAATGTTTCAAATGGTTTCCTCAAATTCAACTGAAAATGCAACTTTTAATGACTTCTGTAGTCTCAAAATTATGCAACTGCTTCATGGCAAGCATCTTTTGTACCTTTTGCTGTTATGACCTGCTGCAAACGAGATACACGACCAGACACCAGCTTCAAGCAGCATCTTAGGAGGATTTTATTAGCCCATTCCCCATGAGCAATGGCATCCAGTTCAGTAATATATTCTTGGGTTTGCGTGCGACAACTGCCATTTTCAAATCCCGCTAGAGATTTTCCATGGGGTTCAAGTCAGGTGACTCTGATGGCCACTGTAGAATCATCCAAGACTTCTTCTGCTACCAAGCCTTGGTGGAATTTGAGGTATACTAGGGATCCTTGTCCTGTTGGAAGGTCCAATAACGCCCAAGCTTCAGCTTCCCCACTGACAGCATGACGTTTTCTCCTAGGATTTCCTGATACTTCAATGAATCCATCTTGCCTTAATTCCACACGCCGCAGGTTTCCAGTGCTAGAGGATGTAAAGAAGAACAGAACAGAATCCTAAAACTTCAAATGAATTTTGCAAATAAACCGATTTGCAATAGGGTTTCAATTATTTTGATTACAACTGTATCGTCTATTGGTCATATGGACTACTTTTAAATGGCCTTTAATAAAGCTTTTTTGTCATTAGAACAAATGTATTTAAAAAGTAATCATATTACTTTATGCTGTTATATAATGGCATATACAGTATATTTTGGGGAAAAAGGTTTGGAACAACATGAGTGCAAGTTAAAAAAAATTTTTTTATTTTTGTCTCGTGTTAATGTTCTGAAATTATGTGATGGTATTGGTATTATTTTTAAGTATTATTTTGCTTTGGAAAATATATAATGATAGGTGCTTTACCTTCTCAGAATGAACCTTATAGGCAGTAAATGGAACTGTAGATACTTGAAATGTGCTTTGATGAATACCACAAATAAACAATCACAACTTGTACCATTCTCTTTGCCTGGGATGCAGGTACAAAATGTTAAATCAGGAGGAGGGAGAGTTTTACAATGTGCCCATTCCAGATGAAGATGACGAGGATACTGAGCTCCGACAGAAGTTTGAGGTGACTTTTTATTATCCTTATATGCGAAAAAAAATTATCTTTTGATTTTTGTTCTTTAGGAAAAATATTTTGGACAAATGAAAAAGAATTGCTTATTGCTAATAATAAGCTTTTTTTAACTAAGCATGAAGGATGAGAATTGAATAATGATTTAATGGATAGAATGTTGGTAAATACCATCAATAATTTATTATAGCCCTTAGAACTACTACCCACTGCTGAAACTAAAAAGTACTGAGAGACACAGCAAAAGTTATACCTTGTTATATTTTATTAAAAGTAATTAAACAGAGTAAAATTATTTGACCTTCAGATCTGTTAGCTGATTATCTAGAGCAGATCTGCCAGTATGTTATAGCTCTTATTTTTTTATGTATCTGTCAGATATTTTGTTGCAGTGGAAAGATGATTTGAAGATATTAATATTTAATCTACTCGTTGCCTTCCTGAGACGCATACTGTAGCTGTAGATACTTGTACACATAGAAATACATTATAGCTGCCTTGGGGTGGTTTATATCTATGTGACCCATAAAACATTTAAAGCTAGTTGATAACACTAGATGAGAAGCGCACTACCACATCAGTCACCACCAGCTATTAGAATCAGTTTTCTTGTAATTCTTTGTTTTGCCAGATGATGGCAGTAATTTCTTTTCTTGTTATTTTTTCCTGTTTTAGTGTTTGCGGATGGAAATCCCATCAGGATTTGTGCTTTAGGAGCTAAACTAACTTAGTTGTGGTTAGGGTTTAAGTATTGAAAATTACTGTAGATTTACATAGGCTATTCTATTTTATAATATTTATTTTTTTTTCCTGTGAGTTTCCAGCAGCCATTTCTCCAATATACAGTGTCAAATGATCCTTCAGAAATAATATTGATATTTTTGTAGAAACTGCACTACATTGAAAAGTTCGGGTTAAATAATATTATTTATATCATTTCGTCCCCTTGGAATTATAAGGTTCTATCTGCGTTCTGAACAGTTTTGAGATATTGAGCTTCAAAGTTTTTGCATTCCATATAGGAAAATGTCTATGGGGAACAAGTTTCTTTCAAACATAAAAATAACAGGGACCCTAAATGTACAAAACACATCACATAATGTAAATAAATTGTCACAGAATAAGAATATGTGAATAACTCAATTTTGACAAAAATGTCAAATAGAACCTTATAATTCCAAGGGGACGATTTATATTATATTATATATATAATTTTATTTTATAAGAAAAAATACAACTTTTATTCAGCAAATAAATGTTCTTTTGGATTTTCTATTCATTCAATTTGTGGGTGTTCTATTCATCATTTCTGGGTGATATGTTAACTGTCACTCCCCTTTTTCGAGTTTTGAATTTAATTCAGATTTTTTTTTTTTTTTTTTTTAAGATGCTTTTGAATACAGACCTAAGGTTGGTATATTTAGAAAATTGAAAGCAGCATCAGAAAATGAATGTATAAAAATTATAGAAGTTTATGTAAACTAATTTACTGAAAACCATATTTTATACATTTTATATATATATATATATATATATATATTAGGGCTGTGCAAAAATTAATTGCGATTAATCGCATCCAAAATAAAAGTCTGTGTTTACATAATATATTTGTGTGTGCTGTGTATAATTATTTTGTATATATAAATACCTATGCATGCATGTATATATTTAAGAATTATTTGTGCTTAAATTCTGTATATACTTGTATATATAAATACATAATCTATATTATATAAATATAATTATTTTATATATGAATAACACATTTTCTTAAATATATACATGCATGTGTGTGTATTTATATATACAAAATAATTATATACAGCACACACAAATATTTTATGTTAACACAGACTTTTATTTTGGATGTGATTAATCGCAATTAATTTTTGCACAGCCCTAGTATATATATATATATATATATATATATATGTAAAAAAAATGTGGACTCTAAAATTGTTAGAAAATCAAAGTCATATGTCTAGTTGTGTTCCAAATTTGAAGTTGATATCACACAAATTGAGCTCTCTAAAAGGGGTTTAAAGTGCCATATCTATGGTAAAGGAAAGTCCAATTTCATAACATAATTCATTAAATGATTAAACTATGATGATTACTAAAATATTTGAAAGGGGGGAAAAGGGCAATAAAAAAGCAAGCCAAGTGTCCCTTTACTGGCACACAGGTTCAATTCTAGAACCAGTGTGGAATTAGATTTCTTAGAATCACACTGCACCCAATTCATTACTTACTGTCAAGCCTTTAAAACCTTTTCCAGACCACAGCCAAATCACCCTCTATATAAAACAGTCTGAAACATCAACCAACTCTATCAGGACAATGAACAAAATATAATTCAAATGGACAGAAAACCATATTGCTAATCATACCAATGCCATTGAATCTACAGAAATACTGTACAATCTCTATTATATTCATTCCAAGTTCCTATTCGACATCAGTTAAGCAGTGAAAGATCTAAATTACATATTTTACAAAACATAACAACAAAGTGATTTGAGAAATTGACTCTGAAATTGGAATCTGGATGGTTTGATTTATACTGTAAGGCTATCCTACCAGAAAGCTCAATCAAGCTCAATTTCAACAGAACCAGTTTGAAGAAATTAAAAAATAAATAATAAATTCTGGGATAAATTAAATACATTAGTCAACTAAAACTAAGAAGATCCCAGGTAGATAGATGTGGAATAACCATTTCCAATAATTACTTAGCTCAACTAAAATTCAAAATTCTAATAATTACAGAAATAATATTGAGAAATAAACCCCTTAGATTTCCCCATAGCAATGAAAGAATTGTAAGATATTTAAGAAGACAAGTCCTCAAGCACAATACATATTTTTCAGTGATGTTCTGTGTAGCTTTTTGTTTTTGTTTTGTTTATTTGTAGATCTGGTATCTTACAAGAATTGAGACAAATTGGACCAAATTGAGGCAAAACTACTTCCGAGGCACATGTATGAACACAGTAACCTGGGAAAGGTTTTCTGCCCCATTTGGTAACACTTTATTTGAAGGGGTGTGCATAACTGTCATAAACATGACATGACACCTGTCATGAACATGAAGTAGTCTTTATGAATGTTTATGATTGTTGTCATAAAGTGTCATTCGGTAAAGTATGACACTTTTAATGCAAATTTGACATTGTTTGAAATGTCTTTGTTATGACAACTTGACATTAACAAAGACAAAAAATGTCTTTGTTATGACAACTTGACATTAACCAAGAAATCATAACCTTTTACAAATATGTCATAACAGGTCTAATTATCAAACTTAAAGAAGTTATTTAGCTATGTTATGGTTGGTTTTAACTTTGGTTGTCGTGACACCAATATAATTGTGACATGAATATTGTACTTGTCGTCAAGTAAAGTGGAACACATTGTACTAGTTATAAAGGTGTAATTAAGGGTTATTACACTGTCAAATGCTTTAACAACAGTGTCATTAATATTTTCCCTTACCTCAAGTAAAGTGGAACACGTTGGACTAGTTATGATTTCTTGGTTAATGCCATTTCTGTCTTTGTTAATGCCAAGTTGTCATAATCAAGACATTTTGTCTTGTTTAATGTCAAGTTGTCATAACAATGACATTTTAACCAATGTCAACTTTGCATTAAAAGTGTCATAATTTACCGAATGACACTTAATGACAAAAGTCATAAACATTCATAAAGACTCCTTCATGTTCATGACAGGTGTTATGTCATGTTTATGACAGTCATGTCAGTCTTATGCACAACCCTTCAAATAAAGTGTTACCCAACATTTTAACCACTAGATATTTAGACTTCCTAATGAAGCATTATATGGCAATGAAGTGTGGTGCCTGCCTATAAAATTTGACTTTGTAAACAAAACATCCAATTGAAACTACATTTAGAATTCTGTAAAAGAGTCCTGCAAAAAATGCCAAACGATGAATACAGACCAACAACTGGCCAATACCCTCTTCTTCTAAACATCCAAAAAAGAGCCATTCAATTCTGGAAACACCTAAAAGAAAAGTGATCCCTCCACCAGGGCCGTAGCTAGAGGATTCGGGGCCCCCTGAAAAAATATTGATGTGGGCCCCCTCCAATATCGTATATATATCATATAGAAGATGGTGATGTTGTTGTAAAACGTTTATTTTATAAGTTAGCTCTTAAAATAATAATAATAAAACCAATTTTAAAAAAAGTAATATTTATTTTCCCCATTAGTCTGTTGTAATTCATAAATTAAAAAGTAAACATTTAGAAATTGACAAGAATGCAGTCTAATTAAAAAAATAAAAAACATTTAGTGTCTTATTTTTTTTTTAATAAAGATAATACGGAACTTGTAATATTATTAAATAAAGCGAATACATTTATTCATCCAAGTGCAATGTGTTGTATTCGTGTTTTCTCAATGTATTAAATATAATCAGCCGGCAGGTCAGATGCATAATGTAATGCGTTTTGACTTTTGTAATTTTTTAAAACTCTATTTACTATAGTGTAAAAAGACAGGAATTTAGACCACGTAATCATTCATTTTTTCATCATAAAAAATAACTGTACACGGCAGACTGTAGACCGAAGTTTTCAAATTCCCAGCGAAATAACAATACATAACCGGTCTTTAAGAACGTCTAGATCGACTGGGATACAACCACTCTCCTGGCCTCGTCTTTTCTGGTACCTGATTTATGTTTTCTTTTCCCCGATATTTTCGGTCAGTCTCCTGCTCTTCCACCAAGTTCATCGTTAACTTCAGGCTGCCGCCTCAACTCGGATTGGTTCTGTTCACGAGCTGGGGTGGGACTTACAATTTTATTGGGTCCAACTGATGTTTGTCACTGACTCTGATTGAATAATTAATAAATACTTTTGGTCGGACTAAACCATTTTTATGGAGGTAAGAGAAGCAGATATTTGGAAAAATATTTAACCAAATTGAACTTTTTTGTGGTTTTCATTTAAATCTCAGGCATACAACTAATATAAATATTATTTATACAACAAATAGTATAACTTAAATAGTATAACTGTTGGATTTTGTGGATCCCCTATAATTGTCACCACCTTTCACCCCACTAGTGACGGCCCTGCCCACCACATACCATTATAAAGCCCTTAAACACTGAGCTTAGCTTGAAGAGTCTCCTCTGCCAGCTTGTGCTTTGACTGATGGACCACTAACTGACCTCACAACTGCAGAGATCAGCCAGCCTCAGGACAAAAACACACTCACAACCATTTGGCCTTGCCAAATTATAAACACAGAACAAGTCAAATACATCACCCATTGGACAAGCACTATTAAAAACCAACACAAACTGGAATGCTATTAAAGTACACCGGGGCGTACTACCTGAGCAAATTGACTGATGTGAAATTTAGGAAAGCGTTGACCATGTGTAGACTCAGCAAGCTCTGATTGAGGCAGGCCAGCGCAGACAGACGTGGGTCATCCACTGCTGGATGGGAGTGATGGAAACAGAGCGGTCTCAAAAATAACTAAATATTTCCCCAATGTAATAATTACATTCAAACTGAAAATGTACCTTTATTCTCAGCAAAAAGCATAATATGCAAATATAGCCACAAGATTTGTGTATTTACATTTGTCATTGCAAAAAAAGATTGTTGAATTTAATTGCAATTGAATATTTCAAATGAATAAGAATACAATATGACGTTATTATTAAATGT